CTGCGGCCGCTCCGGCCCCGGGACCTGCTTTTCCAAAGGCTCCATGGGGAGCTCGGGCGCGGCTTCGTCCCCTCCGGGTGCCGCCCGGGTGCTTTCCATCCCGGGCGCTGAGCAACCGGGGGGCCCAGAGTGGAGCTCACCTGGGTCCAGGTAGGGAGTCAGTTTCGCCTCCAGCGTCAGGATGGGCAATTGTCAAGCCACGCCCCTCTCCGTCATGCCCCACCCACCCAACCTGTCGGTCACGCCCGTTCGGGCCACCAGCCCCGCTTTCGCGAGGCAGCGGAGAAAAAGAGGGGCAGAAGGGCCTGGAAGAGTGGGTTACCCGAAAATACTGAGCTGGGAGCAGACGCGTGAGGGAGAACCCAGAGCATGGCCGGACTTTTCCCTCTTCTTTGTTCTTGGTCCCACCCATTTCTCCCCCCACCCCCCAACCTTCTGCCATTGTGCTGATTTGGAAAGTTACAGCTCCGGTAGAGAGCGCTTAGCCAAGTCTTGTAGAGATCCTGGGATGTCAGAAAAATCTGCGGGTTCTAACGAAGTGGGGAGGCCTGCGTAAAAGTAGAGTAGCTGGTTGTTCCTTCATTGTAGAAGAGGCACCACACCTGAGATGACTCGCCCGCGGCAGATGTCCCAGGGACAGCTACTCTGGAGGCGTGACTCCTAACTCATTAAAGACTGAGGAATGAATAAGCCTAAAAATGTGTCTTCATGGGGACGGGAGCCTGGTCCGCCCGGCCAGCCTGTTGAGGAGTAAAGTGTTCCCAACGCTGGCTAATGATCTGAATGCCATTAAAACAAATACGGATTCCTGGCTGGGTTCCACCCAGACCTACTGAATCTCATAAGGGGGTGAGGCCAATGGTCTTTTTATCAAGTGCCCCAGGGTAGGATTAGCAGGTAAAATACAGGCCGATCAGTAAAATCTGAATTTCAGATAAACAAGAGATAGCTTTTTTTAGTATAAGTATGTTCTGAGTGTTGTATGGGATGTAGTTATATTTCAAAATTATTTGATATCTAAAATGTAAGCGGCCTCCTATATTTTTATTTGCTAAATCTGGCAACCCTCCTCCAGGGACCTCTGCTGGAGAAGAGTGGAAAGGCGAGGAACAGGTTCTTCCCCACAGGCCTCAGAAAGAACCAACCCTGCCAACACCTTGATCTTGGACTTCCAGCTTCCAGAACGGTGCGAAAATATATTTCTGTCCTGTAAGCGATTCAGTTTGTGATGCTTTGTTACAGGTGCCCTAGCAAACCCATACAAGTCTCCTGTTCAGCTGGCTGCCTGCTTTGGGGATGGCTCTCCAGGCTCAGGTGGTCTCTGCACCCCCAACCATTCACCATCGCCGACTCACAGCTGGGCCAATCAGATTCTCCCTGGCAGGAATTTGGCACTCGATCTGAGAGATGCAGGGCTAGAAGTTGTCACAACTCACAATAGGGCAGCTCTTTAGAGAGAAGACCCACGAACTCCTCCTCAGACCCCTAAAGGCTCTCTGGTTGCGGCTCTTCCTAAATCTTGTTTGTTCGATTCTGTGGATTTCATGGAACCCAGGAGTAGCCTGCCCCTCCCTCCCTTTCTTTGCCTTCGATTAGCAGAGCATTTACCACTCTGATTGCAAGTGGCAAAACCCCCAAGTCCAACCACAGGCTGCCTCGGGCTCCCCGGCGCTCTCCAGGCTTCGGAGCAATCTCCACTGTGAGAGCCACAGTGGCTCTGGCATCAGAAGGCCATACAACTTCTCTGGTGGGAGACCCCAAGACGGGCAAATTACTGAAATTCCTGGCTAGCCAAAAAGAACAAGTGTCTACTGCGGTCCTTCCTCCCATCCTTCTCTCATGGTAGAATCCTTTTTTTCTCCTTACCACAGCAATACCTGCTTGCAAGACAAAATTTAAACATGACAGAAATACACACCATAGGAAGTGAAAGTCCCCAGTATTTCACACCCCAGAGAGATTTCTGTTATTAACTAAACCAAATTGTTATGATATGTACATAGTTTTTATTTCCAAAACTTCCCTCATTATTAAATGTATCCTATACCTAATTTATTTAAGCAGTCTCCTGCTGGGTAGACTTTTGAGTTGTTTCCATTCGGGTGACATTGTTACTGCAATGCCGTAAATGCCACAGTTATAATTAAATGACCATCCTTGCTCATTGTTTTTTTTTAAAAAATCACATCTCTGATGCTATCTTCAGAATAGATTCATTAAAATGGAACTGCTGAGCCAAAGGATGCTCACAGTTTCGCCACTGATGGACAATGCCACAGTAACCCAAATTACTCACAAGAGGCTGAACGAACAATGGATGGGAGAGGCTTGTTCCCCACAGCGTCACCAGCACTTGATACTATCAACCTCCTAATCGCTATCAATCTGGTGCGTGAAAATATGAAATTTCAACTTGCATTTTTTTTTTTAGTTCTGTGAGGTTGAACATCTTTTCATTTGTTAATTATGTTATGAGAAGTGTCTTTGCCATTCTCAGAGCTTTTGTAAAGGGTCACCGCTATTCCCTCTAAGGCCAGCTCCAGATCACCAGCTGGGTCAGGAGTCACTCTCGTCACCCTGTCCTGCCCCCACACCAGAGTTCACTGCTTCAGAGAGGCTGATGGTATCTTTCCTGTCTGAACAGACCAGAGTTCTTAGAGCATAAACTAAACCATGGCTGGTCGCTCCAAAGAAGAAACAAATATGCCCACCCTGGGCTCTTGGCCGATGTCACCCTCTCTGGCATCTTGGGCCATTCCTGGGCCTCTGGACACAGAGGTCAGGGGCACCCAAGCCGGTGTGGCCCTCACTCCCTCTGGATTCCCATTTCTGACCTGCAGACTGTCTTCAGAGCTCTCAGCATTGTCTTCGGCCAACATGTTCACGTATTTTTCTTGTTTAATGTTTATCTCTGATGCTCGAGAAATCGACGCTGTACCCTCGGAATGGTAGCTGGCGTGCCCATCCCTGGTTCTCAGCTTGACGTCACCCCCAGTGGCTTAGTGAATATTTATGAAATAAGTACTGCCACACAGGGCATTTAACATACCCTGTGGGGTTTTTAACGTAACTTGTCTTTATTCTTTTTAACGTAACTTGTCTTTATTCTAATTTTTATTTAACAAATGTTAAACATTAAGCAAAATGAAAAGAATACATTGTGGACACTTGAATACCCTCCACATAGATCCAGCAATTGACATTTCGCCATATTTGCTGCATCTTTATCCCCATGCAAACGTAATTTTGTTGTTATCAAACCACATGAGTGCACCGGTACTATCCAGCGCTTCGGCATATATCTCTGACTGCCAAACACGTCTTTTCTCCCCTTTCTTGCAACTGGCTCCCCTTGGCCTCTTGGTTCCCTGGAGGTTTCACTGCTCTGGCCCATGTTAGTCACGGGCCAAGGCGGAGGCTTCGACCCAGTTACTCAGCAGACGAGGCTTCACTTTCGAGTTCTTCCAGCCGCAGCCCCGCCCCTCACCCTTATCTCTGCTGCTCTCTGAGACCTTAGCCATCCATTGGGAGTGACTGGGACATCCTGTTTCTGCATCACTTATTTAGTGGAGGACCCATTTGCGGGTAGGGGACAGATAAACATGGCTCCAGTAGAGGAACAAAAGGTGGCTTTCGGTCCGGGGCGTAGGTGAGGCTGCAGCAGGGACTGAGTAAACGTTCCGTCTGGACATGTGCAAGCTCACTTAAGGAGACTTGTAGAAGAGCCATAACGGCAGGAGAACACGCCCCTGAGTCATCTGCTAGCAGCATGTCAGAGCACAGCCCTCTCTTGCTGATAGCTCCGCCCCTGGAATTCATTCCTGTAGAATCGGGGGCTGTTTTGTGAGTAACTAACGTGAGTGTCTAGACAGCCCCACTCAGTAATATATGGGGCAGACCTAGCTCTCCTGGGGATTAATCCGCCCCACACCCCAGTTTCCAGCTGACCTCTCGGGGTCTGAGGCTCAAAACTTGGAAGAATCTGGATGAGAGAACATGCAAAGACCAGGAGACCAGCGGGCAGAAACTGACGAGGGGGCGAGGGGACATGAGACCAGAAGCAGCAGCACCGGCCACCTCACATCACAGCTGTGTAGAGGACTCCTTCCATCAGGCTGGGTGGGACCCCCATTGTTGCAAAAGGAGAAGACACAAGGACCCAGGAGCACCTCAGTGAGGGGACCCCCAATTTGAGGGTAAAGTTACCCTCTGCCACTGTGAATGAGGTTTGCTGGCGAGTCCTTCGGCATAGGATGTCTCCCAAATCAGATCGGGCCTTGCGAAAATCTAATTCAAGGGCTTGGAGTACATCGCCAGGACGCCGGACTAAATGGGAAAAACTGGGGTCTAATCAAAGATAGAGAATATGTTTCAAGACAAAGGTGGTGATTATTTATATAATCTAGGGGGGAAAAGCCACAAAGCGATCATTTTCAGAGAAAAAGGGGATGGGGGGATGAAGAAAAAAGTAGAATATAAGAAAAGGTCTCCCAAATACCAAAATTTGGCGAGTTTTTCCAGTACTACTTGATCTAAGGAGACACGGAACATTCCAGTCCCCCGAGATGTGTGGCTCACTGCTGGTAGTGAGAACCCATCACTACCGAGGCCTTGAGTCAATGGGGAGGGAGCACCTGGGAAGGGTCAGAGGTCACTCGCCACTACCGGTGAGTCTGGGGCACCTGTCTCATTTCTCATCAGCCTCCTAGTCCAACCCATGGGCCATTCTGCCTCTGGCCTTCTGCCAACAGGCCTTGCACCTGTTTGCCACCTAGACCCTTCTGAGATCCTCGGCCTCATTCTGAAGCTTGGCCCAGCTGTTTTTCCCCTGTGGCTCCTGGCCAGCCCCCCTCTCCTTCCTCTCTCATGGACAGCTGGGCCCCTTACTCTATGGTGAAAGCCATCCACTCCCTTTTAGGCTGGTTTCTGTCCGATTGGTCTAGAGCTTAATATTCTCTCGCAGTCTTAGTGGAGGGCCCTGTCTTGGATCTTGATGACTCCAGCTCCTGTTCTTCCCAATCTTGGCTCCTTCTTCCCCTCAAGGAGCTCCCTGTGGGTAGAAGTGGGGAGGCCATGTCCCCAGCACCTCCCGCCCATGTGTAAACAGTCTTGAATTCCGGTATATGTGTGATTTGGTGACTGTCTGCCTGATTTTTTTAGACGCAAGCCGGGAGATCTCCAGCCTCCACCACTGTGTCTGGGAAACATCATCTGTGATACTGTAATTTCTAGTAAGAACCATATATTTGATCTTTGTCCCTGTTTCTGGCACAGAGCTCCTAAAACCCTAGGAATTTCCTAAGAGATGAGAGAGATAGAGATGTCTTTTGTTATGTTAATAACAAAACTTTTGGTTTGTACCAAAGGATGGGGCTGGTTGCCAGGAGAACCAATCACGTGATTAGATGGTTGAAATTTTCAGTCCCACCCCCTGATCTGCGGGGAGGGCAAAGGGGCTGGAGGTTGAATCAATCGCCGGTGGCCAATGGTTTAATTGATCTTGCCTATGTAATGAAGCCTCCGTAAAAACGAGTCTGGGGAGCTCCTTAGTTGGGGAACACGTGAAATCTGGGGAGAGCGCAGCACTGAGAGAGAGCACGTAAGCTCCACGCCCTTTCCCCATACCGTGCCATATGCATCTTTCCACCTGGATGTTCCTGATTTAATCCTGTTATAATAAACTGGTGATCTTGTAAGTAAACTGGTTTCCTGAGTCCTGTGAGCCACTCTGGCAAATTAATTGAACCCTAGGAGGGGATCACGAGAACCTCTGATTTATGGCCAGTAGGTCAGAAGCACAGGTGATAGATAACCTAGACTTGCGATCGATATCTGAAGTCGGGGCAGCCTTGTAGGTTGGAGCCCTGATGCTGTCTCCAGGTAGGTAATGTCAGAATTGAGGCGAATTGTAGGACACCTGGCTAGTGTCTGTGAATTGCTTGGTGGTGTGGGAAAAACCTTTCCATAAGGGAACTGGTGATCCAGATCAATGCTATGCTTGACCTCTGTCTCTCTTTAAAATTCAACCCCTCACCTAAGGTAATAGCTGTGGAGATAAGCTATTCATGAGTTGAATCCTATCAACTTCCTTTGCATTTCTGCATGACCCTGTCCCTGAGATGGACAGGACTCCTCAAGGTCCATAATGCACCTGTAATGTGCTTCTCAACATTCAAGTACAGGAAAGGTCAACTTTATTAAGTTATACAATGTTCAATTCAAGCTGTCACTTATGAAGGAGCATGAGAATTTCACTGTGAGTCAATTTCCAGACATAAATGTCTATCTATGAAGAATAAATAGACATAATCCCAAGTAGATTAAACAAGGACCCCAAGATTTATGAGTGTCCTGGAAGAGGATGCCTATTCCTGAGTCTTGGGTCCCTATTTCGATGCTGCTTTTGGCCTGACGCAGATGCATTCTCCAGGTGCTGGCCTTTCATTTTCTAGGACTTAGATGCCCCACTCCCGACCGTTCACACGTGGACACAGACAGCTGGGATGTCAGTCTCCTGCCCTCAGACTAGAAGACCATCGGCTCCGTCGGGTCTCTAGCCTGCTGGCTCCCTATCTTGGGATTTCTCAGCTGAGCCAATTCCTGGTAGCATCGTATCTTTATACACATCTCCTGTTGGTTCTGTTTCTCTAAAAATCCTGACTCTTACAGCCTTTGTATTTCTGACTCCCTCCTCCCTGCTGTCCCCAGAGTTACATCTCTCAGAGGCCGCCTCCGCGCACATCCACTGATCCCCTCCCCAGTCTGAGCGCCTGTCGCCTCCCTGGCCCCTTCGAGAGCAGGTCTTTGGCACTGTGGGAACGCCTGTCACCACCCAGACTCCTCCGTCCTCAGGCTATTCTTTGGACTCAGTCCATGGAGCCCTCCTCTCTCCGCAACCTCCTGTGTATGATTATTTTATGAGTCTCGGCTTTTAAAAATGAAACGCTCAACTCTTTCCTGGGGCTAGAAACACTTTAATTTTCAGAACAAAGTGTCCAACCGTCCTCTGAAGAGGAAGAAGCAGAAAATACCACTCTTTTTTGGTATTGAATCTACAGGAAAGTTGGATGGCAAACTCTAAAATAGACTAATCCTGCACATCAGGCTTGTTTCTTTACTGCTGGTGGGGGCAGGGATGATGAGGTGCTCAGCTCGGGGGGTGCTCAACCCTCATTCACATCAGGCTCTAGGTGAGTGGCACCCCCTGGGCTCAGCAGTTCAGAGCCTGAACTGTAGAATATACACCCTGGCCAGAAGCCCCTCTGCTGGACCCTGTGCCTGGGCCCCAGTGTGTGACTGGGCTACAGAGTAAGATGTGGAGGTCTCCTTGCAAGACCCCGACTACCCACTCTAAGCCAGACTGTGCAGAGCTCAGTGAGGACAAAGAGCCTGACTTAATTTCAAACCTATCAGATTCTGGTCCCACCTGGATCTAAAAGATCGGTCCTCCTGGGGAAGTTGGGTTCCTCTGGTACCGCTGGATGCTAGGTTAGAGAACAGCGTGGGGCAGCTCTGGACTGCTCAGGTCAAAGGTCAGGTATAAGGCCTCAGCAACCCCACAGCCAGCTAGGGACCGTCTCTCAGGTCCTGGACTTGGCTCTCCTGGGACTGAGCTGACCCAGCTGTCTCTGCCTGTTCAAGGCATGGCGTTGCCTGCCCTCCCAGACCCTGGTCCATCTGCATCCCGTCCTGTTCTGTGATGTCTTCCTCTCACCTGCTTCTACCTGTGCCCTCAGTCCCCTCTGCTACCTGAAGACAGGTGGGCCTGCTTCCTGAGAGACCTGTCTCAGATACTGGAGGGGTTTTGCATGAACACTGTGACTCCTTAAGGACACCCACCCCCTCAAAGGGAGCAGCCCTTTGAATTCAGGGATTGTCCACATGCTGCCACCAAGTCATATCCCTGCCAATCTGATGGCAGCACACTCCATGGCCAGATATTCCCTCGGGCCTTAATCGAAACCACATGTCTCTTTCAGAGCTCAGGGGCCTGTGCCCACCTCAAACCCACAGATCCAGCCATATCTCAGTAGCCCCAAAGACCCAAAGACTGGCAGTGGCAGGGGGAGCCCACAGCCTGGACTGGCTCGTCCATGGACGTTTCGTGCCCACCTCTCTTGCACCTGTCGGAACTACCTTCCAGGCATAGACTCCTCACATCTAGACCAAGCATGGCCCAGAAAGGACCGGAAATCCCCCCACCACCATGAAAGTGGGGGTTGCGAGGACCTTCCTCGGCCAGGCTGTCAACAGCGGTAATGACCATGGCCTTTAGGGAGACTAGAAGCACATGATGGTATGACACACCGACCCTAACACCCTTGCCTCAGGTGTGCCTGTGGAAGGGGTGCCCTTGGGTCTTACTCTTGGCGATGCCACCCGAGAGGGATGGGCAGAGAGGGGTGGTCACAGCACACAGTGAGGTGGACGTCTTCCTAGGGCGCTAGGCATGTGTGTCAAAATGACCCAGCTTTCTAGAAGACATTAGAGCAAAAATGCAAGGGAGTAGAGGAAAAGAGGCTTCTTTTCTCAAAGCAAAAGGCAAATTTATCAGTTTGCGAAGAACTGATGTCAGTTGGGGAGGCTACTGAAGATTTCTGGAAGGCTGCGAAGGACATCTGTCTAAGAAAACAGTTTAAATAGTTTGCTAACATTTCCTATGTTATTTCTGTAAACGTTGATATCTGCCTGTCCTTTCTATAATGCAGACTGAAAACTTTCCCTATCATGTACCATGAGTTATCCAGATATATGTTATATATTATAATATCTGTAAAATATCTCTGTATATCTCTATCTATCTATCATCACCTCATCTATCTACCTACCTATCATAGGGTAGAGTGGAGGAGCAGGGTCAGACAATGGGAGAATGAGAGAGAGAGACAGGGACAGAGAGAGCTGGACCAGCTTCTGTCTTAATTATAAACATCGTGCATTCTTTGGCCACGTAGAAGTTGTCTGCCACTCAGCTCAACCTTCCGCAAGGGCAAACTTCCAGAGGAAGAGTGTTACATCTCTAAAACCTTGGACCAAGTTCATAGACTCCATCAAGGTTTACCTTTCTCCATAAAAGAATAGATACTTCTACTCCTGGGTACCCATCAGAGACCCCAGACCACAGGGGACCACATAATATGCCATTTTGTGACCACAAGAACCCAGCCTGCACATTCTGAGTCATAAAACCTCATACGTAACTTCAACAGGAACGTCAAGGTTACGATTGGGAGATTAACTATTACATCAAAAGGTCTTACTCCCATTGCTAACATTTCTAAATTTCATGATGAGCTTCTACACTTTAGAAGAAAATTGAATTTACCGTTTACCTAAAGATGGATGTTTTCAGGGAAACAGTCCTTAACTAGTTTGTAATTCGATCCCTTGGAGGCTCCAATGAAATCTGGGAACCCACTCTCTAGTAAAATACATTTTGCAGCTTTCAGTTTTAGGGGGTCGCAGTTTTCCTGAAGCCCCCTTGTGAGCAGCAGTGTAAGGACCTCTGGTTATAGGCGGAAGCTCTAACCAGCTGGCTTATTTTTGCCCATGAAGCTTTCACAGGCCATGCAAGGGCAGTTTTCCACCTGTCTCATCTGGGCCCCAAACTGGGGTTATGGGTGACTTTTGTATGCAACAGATTTAAATACTATGACTCAGATGGCATGAGAGCCAGGCGAGAATTAAATGCTGTGGTTTTCAGCTGGAATATGACATTTCTGCAAGCAAAATACATAAGCTATTGTGAGTTTTAAGAAGACCTTCTCAGTGATGATTTAGAAAGTTTGTCATTTCAAAAGCCGAAGGGGCAACCTCCTACAAAGTCTGTGATGGCTCCCGCTGACCTGGTCGGCCAGACCTTCTTCAGACCTGTATTTCTCGGGCCACTGAGGTACCTCAGGGTCTGCTTGGACCATTGAAACCTCTCTCCCCTTTGTGGTCTGGGGACACATAAATATGAGATTGTCTGGCTTGTTCGTCTTAGAGATTTTATTGGTTACGTGGGGATCAGACAGGATCCTGATACGAACTTGACACAGAAAGAAAAGCTTTCTTACAATGTTTACGAGCTGAACTTCCCCTCTCCCTCCAAAATCCCCTCTTGTCACCATGGCAATAGGTAGAAAATGAGAGTTTTAGTGCAACCTCATTTGGGGATCTTCCTGTATAGAAATGTTGAAGTCCTAACCCCCAGTGCCCCAGAATGTGACCTTATTTGGAGACAAGGTCACTGTAGATGTCATTAGTTAAGGCAAGGTCATTAGAGTGGGCCCTAATCCAATATAACTGGGTCCTTATAAAAAGGGGAGATGGGGACACAGGGCAACACCACGAGAATGAAGGCAGACTGGAGTGATGTGTCTACAAGCTGAGGCCCACCGGAGATGGTCAGCAAACCACCAGAATCTCAGGGAGAGGCCTGGAACAGATTCTCCCTGATTGCCCTCAGAAGGAATCAATTCTGCAGAGGCCTCGACTTTGGACTTCAGACTCCAGAACTGAAGCAATAATGTTTCTGTTATTTAAGCCGCCTAGTCTGTGCTCCTTTGTTACAGGGGCCCTAGCGAACGAACGAATACAGAAATGAGTCAGGGCCAACGGAAGCCATGGAGTTCTGGCCGGGACTCCATGGTGGAGCCCTTTCTCCAAGGAGAGTCTGCTAACTCCCCACAGGCTGCAACTGACCCTCATCTGTGCCTTCGTGAGAATCAGGAAAAGGGGGCTGCAAGAAAACCCCTAGCAAAGATTAGGGGTGTCTACAAACAGGAGAGTAGGGTCTCACTGGCTTGAATGTTTACTGAGCGGCAGAATATACCTGCTCCTTGAGTCTGTGCTTGGAGTGGGTGGAGTGGGAGTTGCGGTGGTAGCTCTTGGGGAGACCTCCCCCTCCCTGGCCTTCAGAGGCTACAGCTGGAGGTAGACTCAGGGTGGGCAGGTTGCAGGCCTGTTCTGGGCTCTCACTGGGGGAGAGCCCTCTGGCACCCTTGTCTCTCTGAATACTTCCTCACTCCCAGCAAAGAGTGGGGTTTCCTAAGCCAGAACTACTCCCAGACAGGTCTTAGGGCCTGTCAACTCCAGCCTTGACTCAGTGTTCGTTCCTCTGCGGAGGCGGCCCCAGGCCGCGTGTTGCAAGGAGGCGAAGGGCCACCAGTCACCCTCCCCAAGTAGGGGCTGGAAGTGGGTCCGCTCCTCACCACAGAGCTTGCTTTCCCTGCACAAACCAGAACGTCCCCAAGTTGTAGCGTTAGATGTCTTCGCGTTAGGACGTAGCAGTATATCCTTGCTGTCACTAGATGGCGACCCTGTGTAAAGGTAAAGCCACACGCCGCAGGACGCCGCTCGCTCACCACCAGCCTTCCAGAGCGGAACGGGGACCGGGGACCTTCTCCCCGCAGGCGGGGACCCTCGAGGGAATCGAGACAAGCAAGACCGGATAAAGAGGGTGCTGCTTTCCTGTCGTCCCGGGGCTCGCGAGGGGCGCTTTTGGGGGGGCAGCTGCTCGCTCCCCCCGGCCGGGGGCTCGGGACCCGGCAGCGCGCCCCGCTCCCCAGGGCTTCGGGCTGTGCGCGGCCGGCAGATGGCACTTCGCCACGGGATTGGGAACGTGTTTTGACCCCCAAATGCTGTTTTTAGGTGAATCACTATCTCAAGGCAAGGATGTGAGCCTTAAGAGAGGGGGGGAGAACACGCACCGGGGACTAGGCGCTTCCGGGGCACAGACACGGGGCTCAGGGCCACGGCCAAGGGGGCGCCCGCGCGCGGGGACCCGCTGACCAGCCGCACCGTCCGACCGCAGAAGTTTTCGGGAAAAACCACGGTGTCTTTGTGTGGTCACGGCTTGTGCACTTTATCAACAGCAGCAACAACAACAGCTCTGCCTGTGCTTGGAAGCTCGTGGCATTGCGCCACCGTCCTGCCCATCACGACTCCAAAATCCACGGGTTTGGGGCTGGAGGAGTGTACTTCAGGCGCGAGACTCTGCTGTTACGAGCAGATTTTCTGCGGCCGGATTAGACCTCACGCTCGATGCCAGTTCACTCTGTCCTGAGAATGTGCCGGACTCAGGTGCCTTAGCGTCTGCCCAGGACCTCAGGGCGGAGGCACCGCGGGGCCATCGGTGTCATCTGTGGGTTATGCCCGAGGAAGAAAGAGGGATGGAGCTGGGCTTCGGAGAAACCTTCGCCCCGACGTTTCCCCAGCCCAAACCTGGGAAAACCAAGGATGTGAAAAGGCTGTATTTTTATTCCATTCAAATTGAAACATAGTTGTAGTCTTATAGGAGCCAGCGCTTATTCTTACAATGTTGGGTACCTATGTAATTGAATGTATTAAATAACTTCACTTTTGTAAAAAAAGAAAAAAATCAGGTATTTATTGTACATATATTAAAAAGTGCTTAGAAACACGCAGAAAAATTATTTTAAAAAGTTATCTATTGTACTAATTTTGTAATAAAAAAAATCTGTGTGTATTTTTGTTGATTGAGGAGAAAAAAAAATACGAAATCAGATTTGGGATTTTTCTTCAGATGGTGTGAGTTGAATTCTCCACCCCTCGCAGCGAGAGGGCTAATGCAGGAGACGGTGGTTCGGGGCAGGATTATAACTGAAGATGGCATTCGCCTCCAAACGTCAGTCTCAACGGTAGATTTTGGTTCCATCTGGAAATTCTAAACATGGTTCCCCCTTCACTGCCAGGGCCGGTCCCAGGCACTCACCTGTGTGGCGAGTGGGGCCTGGTGGTCTCTCGCTCAGGAATTTCTAAAGAGAAAGACCACGAAGAGGCTCAGCTGCCATCCACGCCTCCTGGTAGGCAGGGATGGGCGATCCTCAGCACGCTCTTCTGCACCTTGCTTTGTTCTAGCTCGTTCCAAAACAGCAGATACAGATTCACCCTATTCTTTTTAAACGGCTGCTTGCCGTTTGTCTATGGCAAACGCGTGCTGTTTTCCCTTTATCGGCAGCAGCCTGTCTGTCCCCTTTCTTCCCGTAACAGGAGCCTGCGTTTCCTTTGTCTCTTCCCCCCGCCCGGTCCTGTGATGTGGGAGGGGCTGGCCCGACCCCAGGCTTGGGCTTACCTCCCAGACCTTACCACAGTCATTGGTTCAGGGGAGGGCACGTGACCCAGGTGAGGACAATGCCATTCGGAGCCAGGGCTTTACCTTCACCCTTAATAAAGCGAAGGGAAGCTCTCTCTTTTTTTCTGCTGGCCTTGTACGTGGGAAGATGTAGGCCTGGCACTTTCCACTTGCGGAGTCTGAGAATGAGGCCAGTGTGGAGATGAGCAGAGACAAACTATGACGAGAGGTGGTGCTTGTCTTGGTGACACAGTTTAAGGGTCTGGTTCAGGTTGTGCCCGGAGCTCTCTCCCTCTCTCCCTGAACTTCCAGTCACACGCGCCAATGCGCTGCTTTTTGGCCTCGGCGAGGGTGGGCAGGGCTTCCCGTAGGTCCTCGGGGAAGAGTCCTGAATGAGAAACTGGCATCGAGAACGGGGGACCGCAAGTGCCCCTGGAATATAGAATTGACTGAGTCAAGTCCAGGTGGAGACCTTTCTTCTTGGCTCCGCCTGGCCATTCTCATTATGCAGTAATGAAGCAACTAATTAAATTGTTCCTCAGAGTAGGTGTTTACCGATGCTGCAGAATTAGGGAGCTGAATAAAGTTCACGAGCTCTTTTTCTGCCACTTTTACTAAGATTGTGCATGGAAGAATCCTACAGGAAATGCCGAGACATACTACAATGTGGATGGAACTTGAAGACGTCATCCTGAATGAAAGAAGCCAGTCACAAGAAGAATACTGGATTCTTCTACCGATGAGGTACCTGGACTGGTCAGATTCACAGGGAGAGAAAGTAGAGTGGTGGGTGCTGGGGCTGGGGGGCGGGTGTGACAGGGGTTCAGGTTGTTTAATGGATGCAGTTTCCGTCTTGCATGATGAAAATTCAGGAGGCGGATGCTGGCGATGGTTGTACAACAATGTGAATGTACTGAATATCACTGACGTGTACACTTAACCATCGTTAAGGTGGTAAATTTTATGTTATGTGTATTTCCCCACAGCTTAAAAAGCACACACACAGAGGGAAGAAACTACAGCTTTATTAAGAAAGGCCCTTCTTTCTGCCTGTGGCCTGCCATCCAATATGGCTGTGAGTCAGGTCAAGCTACATTAGAAAAGCTGGATTATCTGCCACAAGCCAACGTTACTGTGAGCAAAGGCCAAAAGGCAGAAAACAGCAAGAAAGAAGGTGGAAACTTAGGAGAATAATGATATTCTCCATATTTGAACTTATGCACTCGTAACGACCCTCTGAAGTAGGTCCTGATGTTCAGTGAGGAAAATAGAGGCATGGGAAGGTTAAATAAATAAGCTCTGATGAAGTAAGGGACAGAGCCAGGACCGTGACCTGGGCAGTCAGGGGCTTTGTTACCATGCCACTGCACTGGGAAGCAAATAGCCAGAAAGTCCCCTGAAATCCTAAGGGAATGTACTGTGAGAGTCACCAGAGCCGGTGCTGGCTAAGCCACAGGGCCATCTCGAGATCCTGCTGATCGTAGCGGCTATGCCTCTGACCCTGGGTGCAGAAAAGTGGATGTGGGAATTTCAGAGCTGCTACCTTGCCCACCCTTATCTTCAGCCTGGCATCCTTTAACTCCCATGGACTCTCATCCTTCCTGAGGACAATCTTTGGAGCAGTTTGGGGAAACTGCTGGCTATGCAAAATTATTTGCTGCTTCGAAGGTTTACTCGCTACAATCCTCTTTTGATGAGCGCATGTCTGGGAACTGACGATTCCTAGGCCACGGTATCATCGGCAGTGTGTCTCACAGTTGGCTCTGGGGTCAGACCATCTCTTGGACAAAGTCTTTTGACAATACTTCTTATTTCTGCTTTGAACAATCTATTTGTGTGTGCCACTTGGGGGGTCACATATATGAGTTGTGTATTAGGATTAGATTGAGGATGAGAAAGATTCTGAATCCTCACCTGGCCTAAGAAGGGGCTGATAGGAACCAGCAGAGGATGAATCACACCATCAGGAACCGGGGGAAAAATGAAGGGGACAGAGGAGTGGTCCTTACCTGCTGGGGAGACTTATCCCAGCAAGATGAACTGCAGTCCAGAGAGAAACACAGGTAAACTTGACAGAGGGGTGGTTTTGCCCCAGTGGAAATGTATTTCTTTAATAGAAGGATGCTCCCCGGCTCCCTACAGCTCCACAGAAAGGTCGATTCCTTCTTGAAACCAGGGAAGAAGGACCTTGAAACCCCCGTGGCTCCAAGCAGAGTAGTTCAATGATACGATGATACTCGCATGGACTTGGCAATGAGAATTTGATTGACAGCCAAGATCAAGCTCTGTGAAGGAGACTATGCCAGAATACAACCACGTAATAAAATATATTCTACTCCCAGTACTTAGGTTTTCTTCTTGTTGTCTTCATTTCATAATTTTTCCACTTTATTAACTTAGAGAGATAAAGTGAATTATTTATCATTGTGATTATAAACGATCTGTTCTAGCCCTCTTTCTGCTAAGAGCTAAGACTTCCTGGCACCCCACAGTCCTGCGCAGGCTTTTTGGAAATCTCAGGTGATTTCTTTGACTTCGGGCGTGTGCCGGTATGGGAGGGAAGGCAGTGTGACCTCTTGCTCCAAAGGAATAAGGCAAGAAACCTATAACCCATATGAGGGGTAAGCTGTCATCCATATGGACATACCTTTTGTGACATTCCCTCGGCTCAGCATCTGCTCGTCACCATAACAACCCACACCCTACCCTCACCTAATAAGCAGTGAGGAAGTTTCCAGAGGGGTGAGACAGGCCAGCAAAGCGGGGCCTTGCCTAATTAGGAGGTTTTATCTTCAGGGGTTTCTTCCAGTGACCATTTCTCCTAAGGGCTCGTGACATCTTGTGCTGGGCAGTGAGGGATGTGATGACTCAATAACAGGTGTCAGCCATGACTTTCCTCATAAGCCTTGGGGATTCACATATGACCTAGGAAGGAGAAGACCCTTCAACACGGACTGAGGTGAAAAAGAATGAAGGACTGAGACGCGCTGCAAATGGATGACCCTCAAAAAACATGCTAAGTGATAAAAGCCTGTTGCAAAAGACCACATAGGATGTGAGTCCATCTCTACGAAATGCCTGGAAAAGACAAATCTATAGAGACAGCAAGTAGATCCGTGGTTGCCAGGGGCTGGAGGAGAAGAAAGTGAGGAGTGACTGCGCGATGGGTACCGGGTTTCTTTTTAGGTGAAAATATTCTGGAATTGGAAAGTGGCCATGGTCACACAACATCGTGAACGTCCTAAAGGACACTGAACTGTAAACTTTAAAATGGTTAAAATGGTGAATTTTATATTATGTACATTTTCTCTCAATAAAAACATTTTTTTAGAAACCTGAGATGGAATTTTCTACCACTCCAGTGGGATGGTGACCTAAAGTTAAAATTAGGTTGATTTCTTCAAAGAAGAAAAGGAAATTGGGTTTCTCCTTTGAATGAATGAATCCCTATTACCTAACTCTAAGAAAAGGAGAGAGTCAGTATCGTGAGACACAGGGCCATGCAGGTTTCCCTGGGATGAAGCCATCCAGAGACAAGGGACACGCAGTGTGCCAGAAAGCGGTAAAAATACTGGGGCGAAGGGATGAGTACTGCTGGCCAGGGAGGGTCTGGAATATTCTCAGACCTCTGCTTCTTCAGCTGGGAGAGCTCACCCTAATTCCGATCAATTACCCGCTAAGCCTCCTTCACGGTATACCACACTGATGCTGGGGCCCTTGCTGAATTTTAGGTGTCAAGTGTAAAAACCCAAGGGGATTTGCTAGCAGAGGGTTTATCCTGCTCCAGGGTTTACCCAGACTAAACTGGGTCCCCCTCAAGGTAGGCAGCACACACCCTGCTGGCTCCTGGTGGTACAGCTGCTGCAGCCTTGGCCACCCACGTCCCGGAGGAGGAGGGCCATTTCTGAAAGCTCGTACTCTCTCAGAGCTGGAGGGAGTGGGTATGGATAGGTTTTATCTCAGTTGTAGTGTCCATTATCACAAGCCTCTCGGTGACTGCAGCAAGACTAATTTAGAGAACAGTCATTGTCTTAGTTTGGGTTTCCCCAGAGCAGATCCTGACGTAAGGAATTGAGTGCAAGTAGTTTATTTGGGGGTGATCCCAGGAAGCGTTGGGAAGGGAGCAGGGAAGCCGATAAGGGCATGAGGGGACTTTGGGAGGCTTAGTCCTTACCTCTGACCAGGTCCTAAAGCCTCTTGATTGGCTACTGCAACGCTTCTAAGGTCAGCTCCACCGAAGGTATTTTAGTATTATGCCTTCGTTACACCTTCGTATCTCCACGATTTATTGCAAGACCTTCCTCACCGATCTCACTGCTCCCAAACCAAATCTTGCATCTAATAAGAAAATTAATGTTTTTCGAAGCATGCTGCCATCGTGATATTTCCCTGCTCAAATGTCTTCGACGCTCCCTCATGCCTGTGTGATGAAGTCTGAGGCTTTGGGCCTTGTATTCCAACCAGGCACGGTGCCCACCTCCACACAGCTGGCCATCTGGCTGGGGAGACAAGCAGTGACAACTGAGTGTGGTAAGGGATATGGTAAGAGAGGGAGAAGATGCTCTAGGAAGTGGCTGTAGGACAGAGAGCCCAAAGGAGATGTGACAAACACAGTCTTGGGTCACAGGAGGCTTTTGATGCAGACTGTTGGTCGAGCCCATGATCCATTGTTCCCTTCTTCCATTTGGGGGAGTGGCAATGGCTCCAGCTAAACACCACCAGACTCTCCAGACTTACTGGCAGATAGAAGTGGCCAGTGAGAAATAAGTGGAAGTCACAGGGTCTCCAGAAAAGCTTTTTAAAAGGAGCCTTATTCAACAATAGACATACCTGTTCCTCTTTCGTACTGCACTCTGGTACCAGATGTGATGGCTGGAACTGTAGTGGCCACATTGTAACGATGAGGGAATCTTGAAGATGGATGTATGTGCTAGGAATGATGAACAGAAAGATAGAAGGAGTCTGGGTCCAGTTACCCTCGGAGCTCTCGGTCCAGTTCTGGACTAACCACCTCCAGACTTCTTTTGTGGGAGAAAAAGTAAACTTCTTTCTAGTTTAAGCCACTTATTGGG